CCCCCCCCCCCCCCCCCCCCCGGCCCAGGATGCATAAAAAGGCCCCTCCCGAGGGCGAAACCAAAGCTGTTCCTTTGTACGGACACACAGACACACCTCAGGGCGGCCCCGCCCGCTGCCCCTCCCGCCTCTCTCGGGGACATTATCCCGTTTTTTGGGGATTTTATCCCTTGTTCTCCCCCTCCTTTCTGCTCTCCGTGACGGCCTCTGGTGGCGGGGGGAGGTGGGGGGCGGCTGAAGGAGGGGGGTCCCCCCGTTCCCAGCCGCCCATAACGGGGTGCCCACGGCACCCCTTCCCCCCCCAGCACCCAAACCAACCCAAAAAAGGGGTTTTTGAATCCAAATCTGCCGTTTCCAGCCCCTCTTGGGTTGGTTGGTTGTTTTTTTTCCCCCCCCCTTTCCGTTTTCTTTTTTTTCCCCCCCTGTCGGAGTCTGAAACAAAACTGTAGGAATTTTGTAAAACCTCCAGGTCGCTTTATCCCTGTAAATATCTATTTTTTAATCCGATGGATGAAGAACAAACGAGGATGTGCAATACCCCGCCTCCCCCAGGAGTTTTTTGGTTGTCTCTCGTTAATGGATTCGCTGTTGTCTTTGCTTTGCCCTTTTTTGTGAGGTTTTGACTCGCGTCTCGCCACCCCCTGCCCCCCCCCCGCCCCCCACCCCCCCCCAGGAGCTTTTGTATCTGTAAAATATTGTAATTAATGATTTGTGTAACGAGATCTACTGTAAGTTTTGTACTGTACTGGCTGAGGGTCTGTTATAAATAAACCGGAGTAATTTAATGCCCCCCCCGGTTCCCTGATGTGGGGGGGTCGGTGGGGACCCCACAGGGGTTTGGGTGCTTGAGGGACACTGGGGACCCCCAGGAATGGTGGGGGGGATGACACTGGGGACATCCAGGGCTGGGGGGTGGCACATCACTGAGGACCCCCCAGGGACGCGGGGGGAGGACACTGGGGGTCTGCTGGAGGAGTTTGGGGTGGTGACAGGACAGAGGGGACCCCCAGAGATGGGGGGAGGACACTGGGGTCCTCCTCTGGGGGTTTGCGATGGTGACGGGACAGTGGGGGCCCTGGGGGGGGGACGACACAGGGGATACTGGGGACCCCCCAGGGATGAGGTGAGGACACTGGGGGTCCCACCAGGGCCCCCCCAGGGATGAGGTGAGGACACTGGGGGTCCCACCGTAGGGGTGGGGCAGGCGGGGCCCCCCCAGGGGATGGGAGGACCCCCCAGGACCCCCCAACCCCCCGGACTCCATTTCCCGGCGGCCCCCGCGGCGGCGGGGCCGATGACGTCACCCAGCGCGCGAATTCGCCTTACACCTCGCGGTCAGCGGATCCCTCCGCCGCCCCGAGCGAGGAGAAATAGTCCCCGTCCCGGTTTTCCCCCTCCCTCTCCGCCGCCCCCCCCTATCCTTCCGCCGCCCGGCGCCACCTCTGCCCGTCCCGGTGCCTCGGGCGCAGCCCCTGCGAGGCCGCCGGGGGGGAGCCACGACGGGCCGGGGCGGCGGCGGCGGCGGCGCTTCCGGGCGGAGGGAGCGGATATAAGGGCAGCGGTGCCATGGCCGCGCCTCTTCCGGCGCCCCCTCAGAGCCGCCATGGTGAGCGCGGCGTGGCCGGGGGCGCCTCGAGGGGCTTTGGGGCACCCCGGGGGCGGCGCGGGGCACGCGTGGGGCAGGGGGGACTGAGAGAAACCTTCGCGGGGGCTTCGGGAGCGCGGGGGGGGCGTGGGAGGCACAGGGGGGTGGGGGGGAGCGCGGGGAAGCCCATAGTGGGCAGGGGGCGCTGGGGGGAGTGGATGGGGCAGGGGATGGGGGGGCGGAAGGAAACCCCAGGGCCTGTGAGGGGCTGTGGGGGGCATCAGGGGGGGCTGTGGGGATGGATGGGGCCCGTATGGGCAGGGAGGCTGAAGGGATTTGTGGGGGGGGGCGTAGGGGAATGGTGGCGGGTGTTACGGGGTTGGGGGCCTGGAGCGGGTTTTGGGGCTCAGGGGGGCTCGGGTGGGTTTTGGGGCTCAGGGGGGCTGGGGTGGGTTCTGGGGCTCGAGGCGGTCCCGGGGCTCACCCTCGGCCCTTCTCCCGGGCAGACGAAGAAGAGGAGGAACAACGGGCGGGCGAAGAAGGGCCGCGGGCATGTGCAGCCCATCCGCTGCACCAACTGCGCCCGCTGCGTCCCCAAGGACAAGGCCATCAAGAAGTTCGTCATCAGGAACATCGTGGAGGCCGCGGCCGTCAGGGACATCTCGGAGGCCAGTGTGTTCGACTGTGAGTTGGGGGGGGCCTCTGCCCCGCCTAAGACCACCCCACCCTGCTGCCTCTGCCACCCCAAATCCAGCCCATCCCGCCCCGCTCCATCACCCCCAAAACTGCCCACCCTGCTGCCTCTGCCGCCCCAAAGCCAGCTCATCCTGCTCCCTTTGCCCACTCTAACTGAGCATACCCTGCCTAGGTGAGGCTGGCACCCAAAACCAGCCCACCCTCTGCTCCATCACCCCAAAACCAGCCCACCCCCCTGCTCCACTACCCCAAAACCAGCCCACCCCTCTGTTCCACCACCCCAAAACCAGCCCACCCCCTGCTCCATCACCCCCAAAACAGCCCACCCCCCTGCTCCACCACCCCAAAACCAGCCCACCCTGCTCCCTCTGCCCACGCTGCCTGGGGAGGAGGGCTCGGGGCTGTGCCCTGGGGGTCTCAGGGGGCTCAGATCCCCCGTGCCCCCCCAGCCTACGTGCTGCCCAAGCTGTACGTGAAGCTGCACTACTGCGTGAGCTGCGCCATCCACAGCAAGGTCGTCCGGAACCGCTCCCGGGAGGCCCGAAAGGACCGAACACCCCCGCCCCGCTTCCGCCCCGCTGTACGTACGGGGGGGGCCTGGGGGGGCCCGGGGGTCTGTGCCCCCCCAGGGCCCCTAATGCTGATCTCTCTCTCCACAGGGTGCAGCCCCCCGGCCGCCCCCCAAGCCCATGTGAGGAGACTCTGCCCGAACGTGGCCCTGGGACCCCCAAGCTCAGACTCAATAAAGGGTCCTGCTCCGAGCCCGGCTCTGTGTTTTTTGGGGGGGGGCTCTGGGAATTGGTGGGGGGGTGGGAGGTGTTTGGGGCTTCCTGAGGGGGTCCCACATCCCTTCTTATGGGGGGCCCTGGGCTCACCCCGTGTGGGGAGGTGGGAGCTGCTCTGACTCTGGCTCTGTGTTTCTTGGGGGGCTGAGGAATGGAGGGAGGGAGGGGGAGTTGGGGCTTCTGGAGGGGTTCCCAGCCCCCTTCTCGTGGGGGGGCCCTGGGGTCACCCCATTTGGGGGGGGGTTGCTGGGGGTTGCTCTGCCCACTGGTGCTGTCCAGGTGTGTTTGGGGGACACCTGGGGGGTGTCCCCTCCCCGGGGTGGGTGAGGGGGGGCATCCTCCCCCTGCATGAGTCAGATTGGGGGGGCTGTCCCTGGACTGTGGCCCCAAATGTGGGGAGGGGGACTGTGGGGGTCCCAAATCCTGCCCAGGGCCCGGACCTGCTCTGACACCCCCACCTGCCTCCCCGGGTGTCCAGACCCCCCCACCCCGTGTTCTGGGGGTGTCCAGTGGGGCCAGGCTGTGGGCGGTGTGAATGGAGTTGGGGGCACACCGGGGGCTCAGGGGGGGCTGCGGCGGGGTCAGATTGTGCCCCGGGACCCGGGGGGGG